TTAAAATTGAGCTGATGAAGATTTTTTGTCATTTTATGACCCAGGTCCTCAGCACTGTGTACAAAAATAACCAATATGTTTAAAGACTGTACAAAGATAAGTTAAATACTTGAGAAACTTACTGTCAAAGCAATATGTGCAGACTTTCCTTTTTGCTTTTCAAAATGCAGAATGTTTTTGAGAATTGAATAAATTGTATAGACTAGAATTATATTCATCCATGTATCCTAATGAGAAATTTGGAATAATTATTACTAACATGACATAGTTCATACTGGACTCACATTCATCCTGCGTGCTGGGTGTACTCTGTAATTTACCTTATGATGTTCCTGCTGTGTTGATTTATCTGATGATGCTCCTGTTTGCCTGACTATTTAGTTTGCTGTATATATAGTTGTAAAAATATATTTATTTAAATATAGTACATGTCAGCATCTCTGACTCCATTTGGACACAAGCTGAGCAATTTTACTCTCAACCATGGCAGACTTTTAAAGGACACAAAATTCACAAACCTCACATCCTAACCACTTTCAGAGCCTATTAACTATTCTAATGCTATTAGAAACCTCTAATGACAGGTTTGAAAAGTATTGCGTGAATTCAGTCTTCAACTGAACAAAAGAAAAATTAACTACAAGCTTAAGAGCTTAAAAATTTTGTAATAAACAGCAAAAAGGTGTTTATTAAATACATTTTACAATATACATTATTAAATAAGTTTTAGCCTAAAAAAGTTATACATGCATAAGGGTCCAAGTAAGTTTGAAATATTAATTTTTACCATAAGATTTTGAGATTAAACAACTTCTCCTGGGAAACAGGCTTATTTTGGTTAAAATGGCAATTGCAATTCATAACAAAAAACAAGTGATGATTGTATAAACTGAACTCTAGAGGGGAATAAAAATTATAAGCATAACAAAAGAAATACAAGTCTGATGTCAATTAATAAAGAAACAAAGTGATACAAAATTTAGAAATATTAGAGGAAATATTTGAGGAATGGAGCCTGAAGATACCAACAACACTGTCAGTAAGTATTTACTTCTATGGATAAACGGTATCTAAAAGATATTAATGAAGGAATGACAGATGTCACAAATTTTATCTGATAACTAAGAAGGTTTTTCTTTTCTTTTTCCTGCACTTTTTATTCTTTCTCTCCTTCTATTTCTCTAAGTTTAGTTCATATTAATTTTAAATATTGTAATTAAAATTCTTAATAAAAATTCCATTTTAAAAAGATGAGAACATCTGGCAATATTGTTCCTCTGCATAAAAACACGGGCATATGAATTTTAACTACTTCAAATCGATAAAATTTCATATATGTTCTTATCTTAAAGCACATATATTTATTTGAACTGCTTTCTTTCAATTTTCCTAATAGCATAGGGGATTTCCCCTTTCCTTTTTCAATACTGCTTATGGTATCTCAAAGTTGGGAGAAATTCAGCAAAACTTATTGTGGAATACTGTCCTCATCCATGTCTACTTAGAATCACCAAGAATAGAACCTGGGAGCTACATACAAAGCTGGGGCTCTTTTAATAAAGCTAAATGTCTGTGGACATTCTAAGTCATCCAGATCATAGTTGTCTCAAAGGTGCTTTTTTCTACAAAAGGCAACTGGATTGTTATTTCCTTGAGGAAGAAGAAGAAAATGTTTTGCTTCTCATCCAAGAAATTTCATAAGTTCTGATGGCGGGAGAATGGAACTGAGAAATGAAACGTTTTCTTTTTCTTCCTCAAGGAAAAAAAAGTCTGGTTGCCTTTTGTAAAAAAAGCATCTTTGATATATTAATTAAGCAATTGTCTTTTTCCCAAATATAAAGTTTCTTTCAGAAAGAAGGTAATTGTCTGGATTGACATATTATCTTTATTTTCCCCCCATAGCTCTGTTAAATAGGAGGTACACTGCACATTTAAATGCTTCAGTCAGATAGTAAATGTGAAATGGGCCTGCCCAATTCTGATGTTGTGAAGGCAACTATTTCAAAACAAATATTACCCCCTTTCCATCTCTCTCCCCCAAATTTAGAGCTATTGGTTGAGAGAAAAATATTCCTACTAGATTTTGAATGCAAAAGAAAGCTTCAACTCACTTCTTTCTCTTCCCACTATTTTAACCTCCCATCTATCAATGAATGCTGCTGCAGGCAACTATGACACTAAAATGCATGGCCTGAACAGATGCATATCAAGAGAAGAACATTTTAACACAGAGAGAGAACATCTTTTAAATGTGAAAATATTAGCTAAATAGAGAATATTCTCTAAATAAAAATATTTTCTAAAGAGAGAGCCAGTTTGATCTAGTGGTTTTAGCACCAGCCTAAAAAGCAGGACTGTGAGTTCAAGTCTCGTCTTTAGCCAACCAGGTGGGTGACTAAGGGCTATTCACTCTTTCTCGGCCAACCATCTCACAGGATTGTTGCTTTGGGAAAAATAGGAGGAGGAAGATATGTCAGCTACATTTACTGCCTTGAAATATTTGTAAAAATAATAAAAGCAGATTACAAATAAGGTAAAAAAATAAGTTAATGGATCCATAAACAATATATATACTCACTTCCAAGACTATTAGATGTTTCAATAACATTTGATTGATTAAGTTTGTATTTTTATATAAGTATATTTTGGCAGCAATAGATTAATAATCTATTCTAACAATGAAAGTGATATTGCTTCCAAATTCTCCGTAATTTTTGTACATTATGAGATACTGAAAATTTTTATGCAAAGAAAATGCAGCAGGGTTCATCTGACATAAATCTATAAAGTGTCAAGGGACTTTTTATATGCCATCTGGCAATGCCAAATAGAATATTCCAGTCCTCAAAGAAGAAGATGGCTTCACTTTAGTCTCAAAATGCTCCAAGCAGTACAGCCATTACATTTTGGGAGTTGATGTCCACATAATCTGTAAGATGCTCAGGAGGAGAAAGTAAATTTATGCAGTCGCACATTTGAGCAAATGCTATATGCTCCTTCCTATTTGCAGGAACCTGATGGAAGACCTTTGAAGTAAAAAAGGACTGATCTAGATTCTCCTGCATTGTTCTTATACATTCAAGCTATTTTGCATAATCAAGAGAATGCCTCACATTTTTATTCTTCTAAATCCTGATGTAACATCTCAAAACAAGGATGCATTTTCTTTCAATTGTATCTAATAAAGAATGATAATGCACATATAATGCTCCTTCCTCCCTACATATAGAATTTGCAGAAAAGATCTCATGATAACAATATTTCCAACAATATTGGTTTGCCTTTGTTTCTCAAAACTCCATTATCAACTCACATGTTTTCAAACAACCTTTTTGTAAAGGGAAAAACAGCCCCACTAGTGTACATCTTCCAGATGTTGTAAAGTGAGCCTGAGTTTTTTTTTAAAAAAATCAAACCGGAAAGTATATTAAACTATGAAAAAGATGCAGGAATAGATTTGTAATGTTAAGCAGCAGTACTATGTAAAATTTGGGAGAAAGGGGAAACAGGGAAAAAACAGCTTTGTAGCAACAACTGAAATGTCATCACCTTGTTTAAATCAAAGATCAGCAAAACACTCCTATTGTTTAAAAACAGCTATATTTTTTAATATAGTTCACTCTAATAAAATGCACATTCAACCACAGAAAGTAGCAGCTGCAGATATATCAGTAGAACTTGCCAGCTTCTTTCCTGCAGCCTTTGGAATGCTTTGTCACTAAAATGTATGATCTGTCATTGAAAGGTTCTTGTCTTTTTCAGAGAGGAAGTAAAAAATCAATCTCACCATCCTATTGCCTTTGAAACTGCTGGTCAGTGACTGGGTCTATTGAAGAGAGCTAATTCCACTAATCTTCCCCAGACCCTTTGGGCGAATTGGACTCCAACTCCCATCACCCTAGCTAGCTTTTATGGCCCAGAGACATTGGAAGGATATCAGGTTGAGGGAACTTCTCAATCAATCTAGTCCAAACAAACAAACAAAGGCATCGGACCTCCAACATCAAAGAGTTCTCAGAATTTCAGGAAGCCCTCAGGAAGCCTTCCATTCAAAAAGAAACATCTACAAGGAAAACTGGCTCTCCATGGGTGGGGTTATTTTTGTTTTGTTTTTTATGTTTTAGGAGCACAAATTCTTTTCCTTTGTGGTGGGTCATTTTTCCCGCTTGCTGCCTGTCTCTCCTAAGAAAGCCTTAGTTTAGATGGTTCTATGGAAATGGTTTCTATTGTTTGTTTCCCAGACAGAATGCCCAAAATTCCTGTACCAGCATGTCTCCCACCTTCCCTGAAATAGCAGCCCACCTCCCCAAACCAAAAGTCGACGCCCTTCAATTTCTCCTCCTAGACTTAGGCGTCCATGAGATCGGTTCTTTAAGAGAGAAAAACCTTATGCATTTTGTAAAGTGAGCACTAATTTACAAGAGAAAAATTCAGACTTTTCCCCCACTCCCATCGCTCAAGGACCGTTCCAGAGAGCGCCCTCTGGCAGGTGAGACAGCAATAGTTAATGCTAATAACAAAGCGGCGATTTTCCCTGCCCTTTTTCAAGAGTCGCTTTTTCCTTCTTTCCCCTCTCCCTAGACCAGGTTGCATTCGCCAAAGGGAATACCGAAAAGCCGCATTCTTCTGTTGCAGCTTCAAACGGGCCCCTCTACCTCTTTCTGCGCATATGGCTAAATCTAAGGTCAAGAACAGCCAGTCGCTATTTCAAACCATTATAGTACACATTTCGCTCGAATAAAAAAAATCTACTTTAAGTCGTACGTTGGTCTCGGCTACTGCTCAACATAAGAAAACCAGAGACGGGCGACAGCGCACGAACTGCTAAATTTAGATAGCTGGTGTGCCTGAGCAGATATTATTAGCCGTCGCATTCGATGAAAGCTACATGCGCACACAAATGGGCAGACCCCAACGGCACCACCAAAGCTGTTTTCACTGTGCAAAGACCGCTCTTCGGGGAAACCCGCAGGGCGAAGCCCACCTAAACTGATACTCACACCACTAGCCTAGAGATGATCCAGGAAACCATGACGCTGCAGGACTCCGGTGACAGAAAGACAGGGAAAGGATTTTCCCCGGGCTCGAATCGGTCCGCCCGCAGTCGCTAGAATGAGCAGAGCAGGCGTTTTAGCCATTCGGCATCCAGCGCGCAGCCTCACTAGGGAGCGGCCGGAAACAGTAGCAGGCACTAGCTGAGATGTGGGATCCTAACCTCGCCTACAAGGCTGGGAGAGCTTTAGCACCTGTTCTCGGGATCTCTGTCTGTCCCTCTGCTATGCCTCTTCCTTTGAGAAAAGGCGCGTCGCTCAAGTGGTCAGTCCTCAGATTACCACCCTTTGCCCGAATTGGAGATGGGCAACGAAAACAAGCAGCCCCTTTGCTTTCATGAATGCAGCACGTGGCCATTCCGAAGCAATTGATATACTGGAGACAACCATCAACATTATACAAAGCTATAAATTGTTTTAAGCTTGGTTTGTTGAACGAACTTTGCCGCTTACCACCTACCCATTTTTCAGCTATACATGGAAGTTGCTTATTACATGCTTCTTAGAGATAATTCCAGTACTACAATCTCTAAGGGCACATGTTGGATTTTTATGCTAGGTCATAGTTTACCAAGCCATTGTAAAGTATGAAGGGCAAATAACATGGGTTTTGTTATTTGTTAACTTGTATTTTAATTTGATTTATTTTCTCTGTTTTAAAACGATGTTCAGATTTATTAGCTTTTAACATTCCTAAATCGATAAACAAGCTGGAGACTATCTCCTTTAAGAAAAGTTACAACAAACAAACGTTTGTTACAACTTGGCTTATCTCTTTCCTGAACTCTTAAATAACCTTTTCCTTACAATTACGCCCCTTCTGATGTCAGACCTCATTTTAATGAACATTTGTGATATTATGGGATACAAATATGTGACATGTTTGACTACATGTAACTGATTTCCTATGCAAAGGGGAGATTACTTTTATTCTGTCCAATCAGCTTTCCTCTTGCATTTGCTTTTGTGTTAACTATAAAAAGAAGGGAAACATGAGGCTCAAAGTGCTCTCCTCCTTTTTTCATAGAGACCCACTTTATCAGTTTACCCTAATAAACTGCTTTTAAATGATCTTCTGACTCATTTGCTTATTAGAAAGGTAAACTGAGGCAGAACCTAGAGCCAGATTTGGCTTTCAGATGGCTACCCAAGATGGGTTGCCTTCATCTCTTGTCAGTTCTTTGTTGGGCTACATCATTATCAAGGGAAAAGCGTGCTTCAAAAGAATTTCTTTTGACATTGATTTTTTTCTGAGGTTTAGAGGACTGTTGTCAGAGATGCAAAAGACGTTTTTAAGGAAGATCATGAATTATAAAGAGGCACTAAAATATCGGGCAGGCATCCATCCAGATGAAGTTTATTCAAAAGAAGTTTGGTGAGTGTTGAGAAATTTGGCGAGTTGTTAACTTTTTTTTTCAGTTTCTAGTGTGTGACACTAGTTGACTCTGAAGAGAGATAAATCTTCTGAGTTGTAAAACTAATTGAAGATCTAATGAACAAAGAAAGTTCATTAGTTGATCCTGGAGAGATGGAAATCTCCTGGATATAAAACAATTCGGGGCCCACATGCCATGAGGAAAGAAAAGTATTGTTGTCCTTCCCACCTGGGGTTCAGCAGGTAAGTGTCCTGTCTGTTAAAAAACCTGTTAGCTGTTTTAACATTAGCTGTTATTAAGCATTTATTAAGCATTTTGAGCATTTATTGTTCTGTTGCTATAGCTCTCAGTTACATCCACCAGCAGGAACACAGGTTCTTCCTTCCACACTTTTCTTGTCCATGTTCCGTGTATTTGAAATGTATTTATAGGCTAACAACACCTTAGAGAAACCCATCTGGTGAACTTCAAGGGAATATTTGTGGAAGACTGGGTGTAGCAGTTTGTAGGGATAGTAACTTATGGGGATAACTGACTTTGTATTTATATTTTCTTTCTACAAAAGGATTTCTTGTTCCATAGCGCAGAGAGACTGTATAGCTGTATAGCATGGAATATGCTAAACAAGATGGCCAATATTACAACTAGGTCACCTATTGACTTTGAAGGCTATTTTTTTCTCTCTCTTCAAGTGTCCTGTACCTTGATTTATGTTTAGAGCTAGCAGATTTCTGGGTATGTACACCATCTATGCAGGGCATTCCTTTTTGTTGAGAGTTTTTTAACTCTTCATTGATCATTTTTTTCTAGATGCATCTTATTTCTTAGTCTCTAGGATGATACAGGATGATCTATATTTCCTACATATATCGCATGTCCCTCCAAACAATGACCATTTTTGTTGGGACTATGAAGTGTTTTATTAAAAATGAAGATTATATGGAATGACAGGGAACAAGCTCATCATTTTGCCTTCTAACAACTAGACTTGTTGTGACTGCCCATACTTTCTCTGGCAGCTGCTTAAAAATTGGAAAACACTCACACTCATATAGAAAAACACACATGCACAAGGCCAGGGCTAGATAATACCAGTAGTCATTTTATGAGAGCACTTATAACTTGATCTTGGGGGGGGGGTGGAGTGAGATGTTCCTTTAATAATCATGATCTCCAGGGGGCCAGCTAAGCTTTAGTATTAATTCCTCCAGGCACTGGACAATCTGCTGCCAGATGTGATGTTCTTTTTATTTCAGACTTCGTCAAGTTTTGCTTGTGCAATCCTCAGGAGAGAGCTGCAAAGTCTTAGGGATGTTGATTTTGTAAGATTTTGTAAATCTTAATAGAAAAATCAGATGGTAGAGCCATGGGTTGTAAATATTGTATATGATGATATTAAAAGTATCAACATTTATGTGAAGTCGCTGGGTGACATCATCCGTGGTTTTGGGGTGAAGTGTCATCTGTACGCTGATGATACTCAGCTGTACATCTGCACCCCAGACCACCCCAACAATGCCCTTGATGTGATGTCTCACTGCCTGGAGGCCGTAGGGGTCTGGATGGGGAGAAACAGGCTCAGACTCAACCCTTCCAAGACCGAGTGGCTGTGGCTTCCGGCGTCCCGATATAGTCAGCAGGTGCCATCGCTGACTATTGGGGGTGAATCTTTGCCCCCCACAGAGAGGGCTCGCACTCTGGGCGTCCTCCTGGATGCACAGCTGTCTTTAGAAGAGCATATGACGGCCGTGGCCAGGGGGGCCTTTTATCAAGTTCGCCTGATTCGCCAGTTTCAGCCCTTTCTGGACCAAGACGCCTTGCGCATGGTCACTCACGCCCTTGTCACCTCCCAGCTGGACTATTGTAATGCTCTCTACATGGGGCTCCCCTTGAAGAGCACTCGGAGGCTCCAACTGGTCCAGAATGTGGCCGCGCGGGTGGTTATGGGCGCAACTCGTTGTGCCCACGTGACACCCCTCCTGCGTGAGTTGCACTGGCTCCCAGTGGTCTTCTGGGTGCGATTCAAGGTGTTGGTCACCACCTTTAAAGCGTTCCATGGCATAGGACCCGGGTACCTTCGAGACCGACTTCTGCCACCAATAGCCTCCCACTGGGCAGTTCGCTCCCACAGAGAGGGTCTCCTCAGGGTGCCATCGGCCAAATTATGTCGGCTGGCAAAACCCAGGGGAAGGGCCTTCTCTGTGGGAGCCCCAGCCCTGTGGAATGAACTACCCCCGGAAATACGTAGGGACTTCCGGCGGTGACGTAAGAGTCGTGGCGGCACAGAAGAGAAGAGCTCTCTCTCTGTTGCCGATTTTCCGAGCTTTGGTGCCTGTTTTTGGCGGAGACCGGTCCCGAAGAGACCGGGAATAAAGAGGGGAAGCTTTGGGGGAGGCGAGGAGAGGTGCGATCTCCCGCCGTACCGTAAAGAGCCCTCAATCCAGGCTCGGGAAGAAGTCGGCTGGCGCGGTGAGCACAGTCGGCCCGGAGACCCGAACGAGCCGATTGAGATCACTGGGAGCAAAGGAGGGAGTACAGTGCAGAACTGCTGAGGTCGAACAGGAACGGAACTAATTTGGATTACTAATTTTGGCGCAAAACCGAGGAGAAAGTTTCTTTTCTTTCCGGAGGGACAGCGTGAAGAAGGAAGATCTCAAAGTGTAACCGGGCGGCAACTGAAAAGGCGAGCAAAAAGGAAGGGGCAAAATACGGAGCAGCGAAGAAAGTTTAAAAAACTTTAAAACAGACAAACGAAGGTGAGGAGAAATAACTTAAACAGAGGAGATTAAAAGAAGAATGGACTCTCTTTTTTTTTACCCCCGCTTCTAGCTGCCTGAGCGGAAGGAGTGAGAAAGTCTTGGCAAAGTAACGATTACATACAGTGACTGTGCAGAATAGAGGCCGCCATACTGTAACCGGAAAAGACTTTAACAGTTGTAAAAGAACTTGTTTTTTTTTCTTTTTTGTAAACATACCGAGGCCAACAAAAACATTGAAAAGCACTGCTCCAACTTATCATTATTTTCTTTACTTAAGTATAGATGAATTAATACTAATGTTATTTATTGGAATTAATCAATTAAGAAATATAGAGTATATTTAATCAATTTAGAAAATATTTATAATACATAGAGATTTAGAAGTACTATTATTAGAACATCATATTACTATTAATTAATTAATTATTATATATTAACCAGTATATATTATTAGAATATTTTATGTTTGTGGATCTTATTGAATAACTAATTACTAGATATTAAGATACTAAGAATTGATCAATTGTATAGTCTTTAATTAGATAAGATATTTATTTATATATATATTTATACTGGTAGCAATATTTATACTCATATTTATATTTAGATTTATTTCTATATTCTTATCACATTCTTAACTGAATTATATATAATTTTATATAGAGAGAATTAATTATTTAAAAGAATTTATTTATTTAAAGAAGGCTTATTGGATTGATCTTTTATAAGGAGAGGGAAAAAAAAGAGAAAAGAAAAGAAAGGAATTATAGAAATTATAGAAATTTGGATGGTGATTTGGGAGAAAGTTGATAAAATACTGGGAGAACAATACAAGATTTTGAAAGAAATGACTAGCACTACCACAACCACGTTGAAAACAGCTAAGAAGCCAACACCATTTTTAACAGGAACAACGGCCTCCCCAGTGACACAGAAAACCTTGGAGGGAATGTTTGCATCAGACAAGCAACCCAGTACACCTAATATGCCAACAATGCAGGCCACGCTCATAACAATTCAGGAAACTATGGCCAAAATGCAAGAGTGTATGACCAGAAACCATGAACAATCCAGAAAAGACATGGACGAGGTAAAGAGAGAAGTCAAGAATGACAT